CTGAACATGCAGATCCTCAAGTATACCAACAGGGAATTTGGTTGATCTATCAGCGAATACCAGCGAGATTTTCGTCGGTTTGAATCTGGTGTAACCCAATCGCTTGGCTACAGAGTAAGGCATCAGATTCACACTTGAACCTAGATCGCAGAGAGACCTTGCAAAAAGTACATTCCCAATCCTAACTGAGAGAACAAACCTTCCTGGATCACTTCTCTTCTTCATCACTTTGTTCTGAAGCACAGCACTGCACTCCTTCGAAACCATCATGACACTCTCTTCCTCAACAGCTTTCCCAGACACTAAACCCTTCATGTATCTTTTAAGGGCTGGTATCATCTGAACAGCATCAGCTAGAGGGAGTTTTACAGTCAAATCCTTCAGCATCTCCCTGCACTTTGCATCCTCTAAGTCCTTGCGAGACTTCTTTGGTGGAACTGGGTAAGGTACCTTAGGCGTGTAAACTCTTGCAGGAATGTTTGCTGGGGCAGGTGGCTGGAGCAGGTGCTCCCTCGTTGGCTCAGGGTGCTCCCTCGTCAAATCTACGTCTGGAGCAGGTGCTCCAGATTTTGGAGCAGGTGCTCCGATGGAGGAAGAGTGCTCCTTCGTCTTTTTTACGTCATGAGCTGATTCCTCTTCTTGGAGCAGGTGCTCCACGTCCTTTTTCTTCCTCTTTTCTGAGACAGAGCTTGTTGGTGCAGCATGTAGAGTCTTCCCACTTTTAAGCTCAATAGCATTCACAAACTCATTCCTGGGATTTTCACCTTTTCCAGGGAGAATTCCAGGTGATCTCTTCACAGCTTCTGCAGTCTGAGCTACCTGAACATCCAGCTTCTTCACATGAGTCCACACAGCCTCATACTTGCCATTCAAATCATTGTACATGGTGTCCACTTTGGCATTAATCTCCATGGAAGACTTTTGCTGATTAACCAGCAGCTGTTGCATCAAGTTTTTCAGCTCATCCTGCGAGTTATTTGAGGAACTCGAAGAAGGCTGTAGACTTGTGAAAGGCAACTTCTGCTGATTTCCACCTTGAAATCGATTCTGATTGGTGACGAACTGCTTTCCTTGGAAATTGCTGGAGAAGTTCTTCTGAAATCCTGACTGATTCTGCACTCCTTGCTGCGGATAGACCTGATCCTGAGGGTTCTCAACATTGTTGCTTCTGTAGGATAAATTCGGGTGGCTTCTGAAGTTGTTGAAACTGCGATTCTGCACATACCCTTGTCCATTCACGAAATTTACCTCCATCTGATCATTATTCTCTGCATCTACAAACTCTTGAGCAAGAGGTGCATCACCAACCTCATCAGCAAAATGCACAGATCTCTGGTTCTCTCTCAACAGCAGATTCACCTTTGCTGTAAGCTCATCGATTTTGCTCAATTCCACACTATGAACTGCTTTGCTAGACCTGTCATACTCTTGGGATTTGTTGCTGGAGCTTGCAGCTAAGTTCTCAATCAACTCATAAGCAGCTTCTTTGGACTTAGTCATGAAATCGCCATTGCTAGTTGCATTCAAAGCATTCCTGTAATCCCAGTTGACACCATCATAAAAGGTTGACAGAATCTGCTCATCAGAGAACCCATGGTGAGGGCACTCTCTTCGGTACTCCTTGTACCTCTCCCAAGCTTCGCAGAAAGCTTCGCCAGGTTGCTGTTTAAACGACGAGATCTTGTTCTTCAGAGCTGCAGTTTTGGCCTTAGTGTAGAAATGGTCCAAAAATGCTGATCTGCACTCTTCCCATGTAGTCAATGACCCAGGTGGTAATGACTTCAGCCAGCGCAAAGCTTTGTCCGCAAGTGAGAATGGAAAAAGCTTGCACTTCAAGAAATCGGCTGGTATCCCGTTTGATCCAGTCGTGCTGCAAATCTCCTCAAAATTCTCGATGTGGTCCATCGGAATCTCAGCAGGAAGCCCATGAAAGAGGTGCTGCTTCACCAATGAGATCAGCTGAGGTTTGATCTCAAAGTCTTGCCTCTGAATGGTTGGAGGAGCAATCGCAGCCCTGTTGTGATAGTAAGCGTGCGGACTGTCCTTGTCTCCAATAGCAGGCTGTGGCTGCTCCCTGTCTTGCTGCGCCTTTTTTCAGCTGCTCCAATTGTTGTCGAAGCTGTTGAACCTCGACAGCCATGTTGCCATTGTTGCCTTGATCGCCCATGTTGGCTTGAATAGGCCTTTGACGTCTGTTTTCTCGCTCGACTCTTGCTAGATCGGTGTTCGACAAAGAAACAAGATCGGTGCAGTTGCTCCTTGTGGATATATTTGACATACACCTGAAACACACGCAAACAAGAGAACAAGAGAGAAAAAATTAGTAAAGCCTTAGTCTGAATTTCAAACCAAAAATCAAAGGTAACGAATTGGTCCCCGTCGCAACGGCGCCAAAATTTGATTCTCACTAGATATACTCCTAGTTTCTACTGCAATAGAACAGTGATGTAGTTGTAATATAAAGGATTCGAAATCCAGAGGACCAGTGTTACTCTATGAATTTGTGAGGATTGAATTAAAGCTAAGACGAAAGATGGTTTGTTTTGAAAACTAAAAAGTAACAGAATGGCAAACAACGATTTAAATTCAAATTAAAACAAGCACTAGACCAAAGCAATTCGCAGGAATTTCAGAGATAAGAATCAGATGACTATTCAGGGCACAAGTGTAACGCAAGTCTCGAACTCAAACAGAAAAGCTTATCGATCCACTGTCGTGATCTCGATAACTTTGTCTAACAACCTAAATCCTAAACTGTCGTTTGAACCTAGAAAATTGCAGACAAGCATTAGCTAGCAGGTTTGATCTGTTCACGATTTGCCTTAACTTCAACTGTCGTTGGCTAAGGACAAATCGCTCACCAATGTTTATTCTAGCAACCTATTACACTTTTGATGAATAGATTAACCTAAAATCGCAGATTGAGTGATCAATTCAACCTAAGCATTAAGCCTAACAATGGTGAAGACAATAGATATCAAGCCCTATTTGCATCTAATCTTCTAACTCATGAAATCCTTTGAACGCTTTAATCTAGCTAAGAGATCTACTCAGACATGGAGAAAAGAAACACAAAAACAGATGGAAAGGAATTCATGAATTAAAATCGCAGAAGAGATAATAGGGTTCAGAATTCTTCTCAAAGTGTAGCAGATTTCTTCTCCCAAAAGCTTACAAGTAAAAACTCTATGGTTCAGGAAAATTGTAAAAAGAAAGCGTAGAAAGTCTGTAGAAAAACGTGATTCTAAAACACAGGCGGCTGTGGGCTTTTTATTCTCTTTCTCCTCCCAAAATTAGGTAAAAGTCGATTTCCTTATTTTTCTCCCGTCTGGAGCAGGTGCTCTACGAAGAATCCAAACCGGGAGCAGGTGCTCCGGGGATGATTTCTCCAAAAACGTGTGAAATAGCTTCTTATTGCTCAAATTCATCTCCTTTTGCTCCAATGCCTCCTAAACACTCCAATCCTTTGATAAGGCCTCTAAGTCACCTGAAACTTCCTGAAAAGACTCCAAAAACTCCTAAAACAATCAGTAAACACAAGTTAGAATGAGTCAAAATCTCCACTCATCAGTATCTAGCCATTTTTCCGCTTGCATCAAATTTGTGCATCAATAACCACAAAGAAACGAACCACATTAGTAGACTTTGGTCGTGGTACAAGAGACCATGTTCTAATTTTGATAAGAGCATTATATTCCTTTTTCATTGCATCATTCCAATTAGAATCTCTAGCCGCTTAAACATGAAAGGTCGGAAAATTAAGGAGAAACGATGCTGGTGTGTAGACAAAGACGCTGTTGTGGTTTGCCAATGCGGCTTTTGCTACGTGTGACCATGGGATGAGTAGAGGTTGACGTGCTCAACTGAGGTGCCATCGTTGGTGGTGGTGTAGGCACTGGAAGAGGGACAAGTCTTGGTATCGCAGGTGGTACAGGCGTGACAGACTGACAGTTGGAGAGGAAGACAACGGGACCCGTTTGGTGGCAAAAAGGAACGTGTCTTCGTCAAATGTGACATACCGCGAGAAGAGGTTTTTTGCACATAGAAAATTCTCCGCCTAATTTGTTTCAATGATGTTATCTTATGCATGTCTGTGTGATACTTTGATAAGAGCTGGTTTGGGAAAAGTAGTGCCATAGCCAGATACCACACAATTCAATTCTTGTACAATAACTTGTAGTTGTAAAACATTGCCATATTATCTTACATCTTTGATTTCCATTACTTCTTTTACAGCAAAATTTCTGACCATCCAACGCTGGTAACCTCGGGTGTTCTTAATTATTACTATAAAAAGAGTTAAAAAAAAGAACAAAGACTCTAAAATTGTGAACTGGTCATTGAAAAACAGTAACACCAGAATCAGAGTGCATTGATATTTAAGGTATTGGTGACTGGTGCTGCTCGGGTGCTTAGTACCACCAAATCTTTTGATATATCAGTTTCTTTGTTAAGTGTGATGGTAAGAATTACATCCTTATTATCTTAAGGACCAATTAATTTACCACCTTCTAATATTGTAAAAAATTCATCCTTACTATTCTAAATAATCCTCAATACTCTGGCTCTGGTGTTACTTGTTCTTCAGTAATTGGTTTACAGTTTTAGGATCTTTGTGCTTCGTTTTGCTATGTCTTGATTAAGAAATAAGGACTGTCAAAAAAAATTAACAACAAGAGGCTTGGGATCGTATGTTCTCTCCTCTGGTGATGGTAGAGGAAGTTATGGAAAAGAGAGAGGCTTTGTGTCTCTTCTTTATCCAATGTTCAGACTTGTTACAAATAGAAAATGCTCTGAAATTGGTTTAAATATAGACTTCAATATGACTACAGAAATCAACGTTTTTTTTTTTTTTTTTTTTGCTGTGTTTCTCTCCTTATTCATCTCATATGTGTTTACAGCTGCTTCTATACATATATAGCAGATCATTAACATCTTTGCTTACTTATACGCAGGTTTATGAGCATATGATCTGCATCTTTAATAATTCTACAATGAAATGTTGTTATCCTCTTCCTATATTCTTATTCATATGATTTGATTATACATATGTAATATAGTCCATCCAAATCTCTCACATTTAGCTTAGTATTGTAGTGGAAGATATCAGGTTCACTTTAAGCATACTTATCCGCAATCTCCAAGAGAAGAGCACATAGTTCTTGCGGCTTGGAGAACATTGCCATATGATCTGCATCTTTGATCTCCATTACTTCTTTAGGTGGAAAGTTACTAATCATCCAACGCTGGTAATCCTCAGGTACCGTTAGATCCTCTCCGCATACTATATATATACGAGTAACGGATCCGTACCTTTCCTCGCTAAAGCTTCTTGTCCCTGCCAGATTGTTCGTAACTATCGGGTTTACCCTCACCAACATTTTCGCCAACACAAGATCCTAACACGCCACAAGAACAATCAACAAAATATTGAACTGAGGTTATTACCACAATCCCAATTGGGTTTCAACTTTAGTAAGCATGGATGGAGTCATACTTCAAGGGGAGAGAGTTGATACACATTCTTGGCCATGAACTTTGGTCCCACAAGAGCAAATTCTAGAGGACGATCTGGTCTCCCATAGATTCCAAACACTGTGTCCAACCATTCCACTTGTGAGGTACTGCTTGTGGACTGCTACAGATTTTACACTTCAGTGTTGGATAATTCAAACTTGAGGATCAAGTTATCTCTTAAGGAGTTGCTTAAGAGATAATGATGGATTTATTTATAAGTTTAGATATTATTTAATGTCTAGATAAGGTTTTATAAATCCTATATCTTATAGAATTAGGAGTAGCTAAGTTCTATATAAAGAAGTCATTTGGAGAGTTGTTCCATAAGACTTAGATAAGAACTTTGGTTTTGAGAGAGTTTCCAAATCAATAAGAAAAGCAGTTCTTATAATTCTAAGTTTTAGCAATTTACATCTTTGAATTGGTATCAGAGCTTAAGTTGAAGCTAAGAAATATCGATCACAAAGAATAAGAGAACGTGACAATGGGAGACAAGGTTGGTCAACCACAAACACGAGCCAAAGACATTGGAACCTCAGTGATCCAATGTCCGATGTTAACGTCGACAAACTATATGGTTTGGTCGATGCGAATGAAGGTCATGCTTAGAGTATACGAAGTTTGGGATACAATCGATCCTGGATCAACCGATGCAAAGAAGAATAATGTTGCTATAGCATTATTGTTCCAATCTATACCCGAAAGCTTAATCTTACAACTCAAAGAACCATCGATGTCAAAAGCTGTCTGGGATGGCATCAAGTCGCGGCACCTTGGAGCTGATCGTCTAAGAGAAGCAAGACAACAGACACTTATGGCTGAATTCGACAGGTTGAAGATGAGTGACACAGATTCAGTCGATGACTCCTTGGGAAAAATTTCGGGGCTAGCATCAAAATCAGCTTCACTAGGACAAACCATCGATGTATCTGTGTTGGTGAAGAAGTTCTTAAAAGGACTTCCAAGAAACAAGTTCATTCATATTGTAGCTTCCCTAGAACAATTTCAGGATCCTATTGATAACGACGTGGTAGAAGAAGCAAACACAGAGCAAGGGATGAATCAAGAAGAACAGCCTCAGCAAGTAACTACAAGATCTGGTAGAATCGTAAGAAAACCAGGGTATTTAGAAGACTTTGTGATGTTTGCAGAACAAGAAGGTGAACGACTACTTCTCACAGTAGATGTAGAACCAGAAAACTTTCTTGAGGCAAAACATCTACAAGACTGGATTGATGCTATGAAGGCTGAACTGGATTCAATCGAAAAAAATAAGACATGGGAGCTCGTTAGAAGACCAAAGGGAATCAAGCTTATTGGACTAAAGTGGATCTACAAGATTAAAAGGAATGTAGATGGTTCAGTTAACAAGTATAAGGCCAGACTTGTGGCAAAAGGGTATGTTTAAAAACAAGGTATAGACTTCGAAGAAGTCTTTGCTCCTGTAGCAAGAATCGAAACTATACGACTTCTGATTGCCCTAGCCGCAACAAAAGGATGGGAGATAAATCACTTGGACGTCAAAACAGTTTTCTTAAATGGAGATCTACTTGAAACAGTCTATGTAAGTCAACCTGAGGGTTTTGTAAAGAGAGGAGAAGAGGATCACGTTTTCAAGCTTCACAAAGCCTTATATGGTCTTCGACAAGCCCCTAGAGCTTGGAACATCAAGCTAGATCAGATTCTTAAGGCAATGAACTATAAAAAATGCCTAAAGGAGCCATCGGTGTACCTTAAGAAGAACAAGGAAGACATTTTGATTGTGGTAATCTATGTGGATGATTTATTTGTGACAGGGACTTCACAAAGGATCATAAAACAGTTTAAAAATGATATGTCAAACAGATTTGAGATGTCAGATCTTGGAAAGTTGACATATTATCTCGGTATTGAGGTAATTCAAGGAGCAGATGGAATCAAGATAAAACAGGAAGGATATGCTCAAGGAATACTGATCGATACACAAATGGAAACTTGCAACCTATCTCATATACCGATGGAAGCAAACCTGACGATCACGAAAGCAGAAGATGAAACAGAGATTGATGCTACTCGATATAGGAGGACAATAGGTTGCCTAAGGTATCTTCTTCATACAAGACCTGGTTTGGCCTTTTCAGTAGGTGTGTTAAGTCGCTATATGCAGAGTCCAAGAGAGAGTCATGGACAAGCCATTAAGCGCATTCTAAGGTATGTAAGAGGAACCACAAGTCTTGGCTTGCATTTCAGAAGAGATGGATCAAGCAAAATCATAGGATATAGTGACAGCAGTCACAATATCGATGTTGATGATGGAAGGAGCACATGTGATCTGCTCAAAGTTTAATCCCTAAGCTACTCTGCAAGAGCACAGATGTGCAGTTGTAGTATCTAGGGGTCGAACCACAGAGACAAGAGATCACTCAATAAACCTTATGTAGATGGAGTTACGCTAAGCCAAAATATGTGAAACAAATAACAATGCGACAGAAATAAATAAAGCAGCAATGAAAACGGTTTGTAAGATTCAGATGGATGGAGATTAGGCTTAGGGTGATTTTCAGGAGATCGATGAATGCAGATCAACTTAACTGATCAGGGTTCAGGTTTAAGCACAGTTCTTGAACTCGAAACACAGAATTATAATTAACCAACTTCCGTTGTGAGAATTATCTAAGTTAAAATCCTAGAATCCCAAATCCCTTTGCAAATCCTACAGATTTAAACCAGCCTTAATGCACAAGTTCGATATGTTCACAAAGCATCTAAACCAAATTCCTTAGCGAATAGATACTTTGCTCAACCTAGGTTCTTTCCAGTTATTCAATTACACTTCCGTGTCAATTAAGCAACCTAAGATCTAAGTTCTAGGTGGCCAGTCCAGAATTAGCTTTAAGAACAACCTAAGGTGAAGAACAAATAGATATGAACCCTGACTAGCAAGTTAATCAAACATTCAGAGAAAACCCTAATTAAACCCTAAACCTAACAGGTGATCTACTCAGACATGATTATTGAAACAACAAACATGATGAATAGAAAGCAATAGATTAAATCAAAATAGATAAAGGGGTTCGAAATCTTCTCGCTAAACAAATAGAGTTCAGACTTGTCTCCCAAAGCTCAGAAATCGCAAAAGCCGAAAACTCAGAGTATCTCTCTCTCAAAAATCTAAGGTTATCGTAAAAAGGGAATAAAAATCCTAAATATATCTCTAAGACACGTCTTGGGCTTCCTTGAAAACGTTTGGGCCCAACTCCTTCTTCAAATAGGAAACAAAAATTGCCTTTTCCTTATTTCTCTGACAAGTGTCGAGCGTCACTCTCCATGGTGTCGAGCGTCACTAAAGCACAAAATCCATTCTTGACGAATTTGATCCTGATTAAGCTCCAAAGTGCTCCAAAGTCTCCAGTTAAGCTCCAAACGTACCTATGACCTGAAAAGACTCCAAAAGACTCGAAAGACACTAAAAAACTCTATAAATAGGACTTATACCATGGTTAAAAACCATAAAAACCATGATATATCAACATGCGGACATGTATTCTACCTAGGCTCATCACCGGTCACTTGGACCTCTCAGAAGCTTTCCACCGTCGCCTTATCTTCATGTGAAGCAGAGTTCATGGCAGGCACAGAGGCAGCAAAACAAGCAATATGGATTCAAGAATTGTTGAAATAGATTCTAAGTATAAACAATGAAAAGGTTGTGCTTAGAATAGACAACTAATCGGCCATAGCATTAACCAAGAACCCTGTCTTTCATGGGAGAAGCAAACACATCCTCTCTAGATATTATTTCATCCGAGAATGTGTAGAGAATGGTCAGATTGAGGTGGAGCATGTTCCAGGCACAGAACAGAAGGCGGACATACTCACTAAGGCTTTGGCAAGGCTGAAGTTCAAAGAGATGAGAAGCTTGCTTGGAGTTGAAGACATCATTCTACCCGAAATTCAAGTTGGAATTAAGGGGAAGAATGTTGGATAATTCAAACTTGAGGATCAAGTTATCTCTTAAGGAGTTGCTTAAAAGATAATGATGGATTTATTTAATAAGTTTTAAATATTATTTAATGTCTAGATAAGGTTTATAAATCCTATATCTTATAGAATTAGGAGTAGCTAAGTTCTATATAAAGAAGTGCTTTGGAGAGTTGTTCCATAAGACTTAGATAAGAAGTTTGGTTTTGAGAGAGTTTCCAAATCAATAAGAAAAGCAGTTCTTATAATTCTAAGTTTTAGCAATTTACATCTTTGATTCAGAAGGGATCATACTGTGCAACTGTTGTTATTATGTACCTTTTCGTAAACGTAAGCAGGTGGGTTTTTTGTGTCGGGCATGAAAGATGTCACGAAGACAATAGCAGCGATCTTACGAGGGAAGATGTCAGAAGCAAGAGCAGCGGGTATTCCTCCCATGCTATGAGCCACAAGAATCACCTTTTCGTCATCCGAGCCGTGCGAGCTCAGAACATCAAGCAACGGTTTGGTGTATTCAATCAATGTCTGAATCTCTTCCAGTTTGGTCATGTTTATACCTGATGCAACCAAATCCACTGCTGTCACACGGTGACCCTCAGCCTCTAGCTGCGTTTTCACTTTGTACCAAGTCCATGCGCCGTGGCAGAGCCCATGTATGAGCACGAACTGCTTCTGGTTCTTTTTCTCCATTACCTTCTTTACTTTCTGCATCTTGGTACAAAAACTTATATAGCTGGTTAGTTTCCATTTAAATCAAAAATCCTTCTTTTGCATTCACTTTAAATTAGTTCTTCTTGTTTATAAACTGACAAAGCTCTAGATGCTAATATTGTCATCTTCTTCTTTTGATTTTTTTAACACTCAAGAGACTTTTCTGCTTAATAGTGTGAGAGAGAAAGAGGAAGTAGAGATCCACACGGCTAAAAGACTGTCAATTCTGGAGAAAGAGATTCCATTACGACTATGTTTGTGTGCTTTCCCTTTATATCTTTCTCAAGTAAGGTAAAAGACACGTGTAAGAATGACTTTAAATTTCTGAGAAAGAGATCAATTTTAGACTGTAACTTAGACTCTTTACATGATAAAATCAATGTTAGTATGTGTAATGAATCATTCTGTTTTCTCTTTTATTCAATGTTCAGGTTTGTTGCATATAGAAAATACTCTCCAATTAGTTTTAATGATGTAATCTCTGTGTATTACTTTGGTAGGAACATGTTGGCATAAATGATGCCATGGACAAACACTAAACCGCTATAAATGCAATACAATTCTCTCAGAAGATATTATTTATATAACCAATTCTTATATAAATACTATGACTTATTATTGTGGACCTTGTGGTGACGAGCTCAGGTTTAGCTAGGCATATTTATCCGCAATTTTTAAGAGAAGAACACAAAGTTCTGGAGGCTTGGATAACATTGCCATATGATCTGCATCTTTAATCTCAATTACTTTTGTTGCAAAGTTCCTGATCATCCAACGCTGGTCATCTTCAGGTGTCACAAGATCCTCTCTGCAGATTATATATATACGCGTGATGGATCTCTATCCTTCCTTACTGAAGCTTATCATCCCTGCTAGACTGTTTGTAAATAAGGGGTTTAACCTCACCAACATTTTCGCCAATACAAGATCCTAAAACGCCACAACAACAATCAACAGAAGATTGAAGCAGAGGTTGGATTGTCAAGAAGACAAAGAGATTAGATTGTCAGGCATGAAAACTGCCAAGAAGACAATAGCAGAGATTTTCCATGGGAATATTTCGGCAGCAAGAGCAGCGGGTATTCCTCCCATGCTATAGGCAACAAGGATCACCTTTTCGTCGTCTGAGCAAAGCGAGCTCAGAAACTCAAGCAACGGTTTGGAGTAATCCTTCAAAGTCTGAATCTCTTCCAATCTGGTCATGTTTATATCCGACGCAGCTAGATCCACTGCGATCACACAGTGCCCTGCAGCCTCGAGCTGCGTTTTCACTTTGTACCAAGTCCAAGCTCCGTGGCAGAGCCCATGGACAAGCACAAACCGCTTCTGGTTCTTCTCCATTGCCTTCTTTACTTTTAGCATCTTGATTCAACACTTATATAGATGATCAACATATACTCTTTGTACATTGACTGTTAGTTTTTAGTCGTTCTATAAGATCAAGAGAATGCGAAACCAACACTACTTTGACTGTTATTTTTCTTATTTCAACCATAGAAAAGCAAAAGTTTGAAAGTTAAGAAAGAACCATTTGCAAAAAAAAAAAAACACTTATTTGTATTCAAATACATTTTTCATTAAAAGATAAATTTAAGCGAATTTGTCTGCGATTTCCAAGAGATGATCACTCAGTAGTTGAGGCTTGCAGAACATTGGCATATGATCTGTCTCGTCCATCTCTTTCACTAAATCAGCCGGAAAATTATCGATCATCCATCGTTGATGTTCTTCTTTAATGATTTTGTCCCTTTTGCACACAATGTAAGCACGAGGAACAGATCCATACCCTTTGTCTGAAAAGTTTTTTACCCTTGATAATTCGTTGATGAACAATGATCCGGGCCTCTTTAGAAGCAATCCAAGCTCAAGATCCTTAATCAAGATTACCATATCCATGAGTAATTAACTATTCTCAATTCATCATGATGATGGATGATGATGATAAATGAAATTACCTCAATAGGAGAAAGTTGGTAGAGAGCTTGCTTCATGAACTCATTGCTGAAGAACATTGACACACCTGATCTGTCTGAGCCGTATGGTTCGAACTCGGTGCCTAACCATATTTCTAGTGGCTTGTCCCCTCCAAACTCCTACGTGGTTAAGAGTTAAATTTTCGAGTTAAATACAACTACGGAAGTACGCTACTTTGACTTTTAATAAAACATGTAAACAGCCCCGTCTAACAAATATGGTGGTCCGAGTCAAAAACAAAAAAAAAGTGATCTTTTGTAAACTAAAGTTTTCATGATAAAAACTTTATTTTGCAGTTCTTGGATAGATATTAAGTGATGCAAACAATTTTTTTTATAATGGAAAACAATTTCTTAAAATTAAACATAATATTTACATTTTGAAACCTATAAACTATTTAATCGAAAATACAATATGTGGCCATTAAAAACTTAAAAAGTTGGTGGTCCTAAGCGGTCGCTTAGCTCGTCTCCCGTTGAGGCAGGACCCGCAGGTAAAACTGAACTCATTCTACCAACATAGACGTTAGATGTTGTCAAAGCATGATCTATGGTTATAGCATATACACCACAAAATTATTGAGAATCCAAAAATTGGAGTTTAAACCACAAATAATAAAGAGTCTATAAGTGGAAATCTATGTATATCGTTTGTTTAAAAGAAGTTTTTTTCCCCGTCTATAAACTCAAGATTTTTATGAGCCATCTTAGATGACTGATTAAGAATTTAAGACTATGAATTTTAGAGTTATAGGTATTAAATAATGGCCGTAGAATTTATCATGTTAAGAAAATAATAATAAAAATAAAGAGAATTTAGCATGTTGATTTTTGGCTTGTGTAATGTGTCTTTATTTTAGAAAGAAAAAGAATTTATAGCTTTCACAGCGGTAAACAGGGGAGAAGCTAGATGGATTAAGGGGGGTGCACCGTGCACATGCACCCATCATTTTCTTTTTAAACTCATGTATTATTTTAATTAATTTTTTGTGTGCACCTATAATAATTTAGAAGAACTTGCACCCATTATAAAATTAGTTAAAAACCAAAAGAAAAAATAGATAAATCTATTTAACAAGATGAAAACAACTTCGCTCATTTAAGAAAATAAAAGTAACCTAAACTTTTAAGCCCATTTATGTTAATCAAACTCTTTTGGTTAAAACTCCTAATTGATATGACATTATATTTTTAAAATATTCTATTTAATATTAGTGTACCCATCAAAAAATCTTCTGAATTTGCCCTTGACATAAAGTAATTGTTCCAAAGAACAAAAGTAATAAATTTGTAACTTTTAAGTGTTAGAATGTCTCGCATCAAAATAAAGATAAATCTAACATACAATATATAACAAAATCCGATCTACGTTGAAAACCCATATTTCTAAAAATAATATAAGAGCTAGATGCCTAGATTGATCCGCTGAACGATCTTCCCATTTTATAGTTGTCTATCTTATAGTTTTATTTCTGAGATGAAGACAAGATAAATCTAACATAAAGAAGAAGCTAATGGCCTATCTTGTTATATAAATCTAAAAAAGTAGAAGAGCCCATTAGTTCTAAAAGTCAGTCCTCTGGAGAATTAATTACTTTCATATATAGATATCGATTTCTTGGTCTAGAGCATGCTATACTATAATTATTTTAGTATAAGCTTCAATTCACGAAAATCCAAAAAAAATATATTGCTCCTTAAAAATGAGATACCTTATCCATGACGAACGAAGGCGAGTGTTTGGTATCGGGCATGAAAGCAGTCACGAAGACTGAGACAGAGATTTTGTCAGGGAACTTATCCATGGCCATGGCTAAATTCAATCCTCCAAAGCTGTGACCAACGAGCACAACCTTTTCATCAACTGGTAATGAGGCCATTAGCTGCATCAATGGCTCAGAGTATTGTTCGCATGAGGAGATCTCAGTGATCGACCTGGTTGTGTCTATACCCGAAGCAGCTAGGTCTAAGGCGGTTACCAGGTGGCCTGAAGCCTCCAGCAGCGGTTTAACCTTGTACCAGCACCACGCACCATGGCATGCACCATGTACTAGAACAAAGTGCTGCTTCTTATTCTCTTCACTCATTTTTTTTTCTCTAACTTTTTGATTTTTTATATTTTCCTACTCTTCACACCGAACACACATCGTATAAATAGAGAAAATTTGTATTAAAAAACAAATTAATTCGAAAATGTCGCTTTCCTCTGTCCAGCAGTACTTTCAAATTGTAATTTCTGGACTTTGTTTTGCTAGAAACAGTACATTTCGAAGAAAAAGAACAGTACCTTATGTGATGTTTAACAAAAAAAAAGAATAATACCTTATGTGCATAAGACACGTTTTAAATTGTAATATAAAATGTCCTTTTCGTAAAACCCAAAAAAAAAAAAGTATACTTGCTCACGAGTTGATAATGCTAAACCCAAAATAAAACTGATAATGCTAGCACTTGCTCACGAGTTGTAGTCTGACAGTGACATAATACAAGTATATTTCTATATGCGCGGAAAAAAATTATAAAAAAAATTCTTACGTTTAACTAGGACTACAGATTTTTTGTTACTGAGTTTTGTGATATTGTGAAACAATAGAGATGACCTAACCGAGATTAAAGTTTTGATGGAATATAAAGTTTTTGTGCAACATATTTTGAAAATTTTAAGTAAACAATCTTACATCTATAAAAAATAAAAATAAAAAAACCCAGTCTAGTCATCAAAAAAATTGATAATGTAATTAAATTTATTATGATTAGTTATTTACATATGTGACAGAGAAATATCTTTCGAAATATATAATGATTTTCAGAAAGAAAAAAAACAGATCCGTCCCTAGCATAATAGCCACAGTCGTCAATTAGTTAATTCAAATCAATAATTCAAATACCACAAATTTCCTTCTGTTAATTCAACTAGCATAGGCACAATATCTTCCGTGCCTGCAACTCCCTTCTTCCTTAGGAGTCTTTGTCTTGTTCTTTTTTTTTTTCTTCAGTGACATTATTAATTTGTTTTTTTCAACCTCGTTAGTCTTTAAATTTTTCGTTCTCAATGTTATTGAATTTTAACTGCTTGATTAGTGGTCCGATTAAATGAAAACGTATTTACAAAAGAACATCCAAAATATTAAGGAAGAACAAACTAAATATTATGTCAGTCTGAAAAACAAGAATTACATAGAGAATTTTTTAAATTTTAGGCTCTGATTGGTAACCTGCGGAATGGCGGAATTGCGTTTTTAAACACAATTCCGCAGATTTTTTGCCAATCAACAAAAATCTGCGTAATGAAAAAATACACACAAAAACGCAGACTGCGTTTTTGCTTAACAAAAATACAAAGAAAAAATCATTCCGCAGAAAAGCGACTTATAAGTCGCTTAATCTATTCCACAATATTTTTTCCGCAATTCCGCCATTCCGCAAAGTTACCAATCAAAACCTTAAAGAAACTATCTCAAAGCAAACTAATCTTCCGCGAAAATTGGATGATTGACACTACTTCACACAATCTATCTTGACGGCTTGACAAACTATTTTTTGGGTGAAAGTATTTTTCATTGGCCCATATCATGTTACCATCGGTTTTTGAAAATTAACTCCTCAAGCATTATCGTATCATTTGCGTGTAAACAAATCTAACCTTGTGAATCTTTCCACGAATAATCAATCTGACATTTGAGAGTACTTATCGTTTACTTTTATCGTACAAGAGTTTCTTGTGAATCATTTCATGTCATGTATTCACTGATTGCATAATTTATAACATTTGAGGGTTCATACTGAGCCTTTTGGAATGCCATTTGATTCCTAACTTTCCAAATAACCCACAACATTTAGGGATCACCTATGTAACTATTAAAAATTTTCCTATTTAGGATTCTCCAAAAAAGGTGGTCCATAGATTTTTATATATTGAAATGTTGGAAAACTATCTTGTATGAACAAGATCGGTACTAAAGCTCATGTTTGAAGTGAGGGTAGACATTTAAAAAAGATACGTGGCTAATCCTTTCCTCCTCAGCACCACACCTCATTCAGGTACTATCCCTATTGAATCCTCTATGAATTAACCTTGAGGTAACTCCCGGTGAACTCGAAACAGTTTTCCATAAAAAATGATTTAGGTCTCTTAACTATTAGAAGTGGCCATGGATACAAAGATTTTGAAGATTAGAATCTTCTAATGATACTCTGATTAAAAATATTAGTTTATCTGATGTAATTTCGTGATTAAGAATCATAAAAAAGCTTTTTTCTTCTCGATCCTATTTTTTGTAGTGTTTATAACATAAAAAGTAACTGAAAAATTAACAAGATACATTATAATCCATTTGCAACAAACTCTTATTTGTATCCAATCCAGTACATTTTTATCAAGATTGTTTAATCGAATTTGTAGGCGATTTCGATGAAGTGATCACAGAGTTGCTGAGGCTTGCATAACATTGGCATATGATCAGTCTGTTCCATCTCTTTCAATAAATTCGCCGGATAATTATTGATCATCCATTTTTGAAATTCTTCTGGAATGGCTCTATCCTCTTTGCACACTATGTAAGCTCGAGGAACACATCCATACCCTTCATCTGAGAAGTTCTTCATCTTTGATAAGTCGTTCATAAATAAGGATCCAGGTCTCTTTAAAAGCAATCCCAGTTCCAGATCCTAAATCAATAAATAAATAAGAATTAAAAAATAAAGAGGAAACTCCGGATCCGGTTTACATGTGTTTTTTATGTTTGGTATAATCCATTACGTTTTCTATTAAATATACTTTTATATCAGTTAATGTAAACTGTTTTAAAATATGGAAAAAAATCTTATAATCTATGATAAAATCTATATCAACAATTTTAATAAAAAAATTAAAACTCATATATATATATATATGTGTGTATACAGGGGTGGAGCAAGTGAAGTAGGAGTGAGGTCCAGTGCTCCCATTCTTTTTTTTTAATATTTAGGCAAATTTAATTAAAAATAAATTTAATATAGTGGTAAAAAAAAGTGCCTCCTACTAATAATTTATGTCTCTAACTAAACTTTTTTCTAGATCCACCACTGTGTGTATATCATTTTGAATTGAAGACAATATATTTTTGAATTCTTCTGGCTCAATAATTACAAAACTACGAAAAGTCAAGAAAGATATGTTTAAAGATAATCACTACAATGACCTTAAAAGCAATATTGTTTCGGATTTTTAACGTAGAAAAATTAAAATATAAGTATACGATAAGTTTTAAAATGTATAATGATAAATGAAATTACCTCAACTGCAGAAAGCTGATAGAGACCTAGCTTCATGAACTCATGGCTAAAGAACATACTAAGCCCAGAACTGTCTGAGCCGTATGGTTCGAATTCGGTGCCCATCCATGCCTCTGGTGCCATGTTGCTTCCAAACTTTTACGTAATTAAAAAAAAAACATTAAAATTCAGTTTTATCTTTCGTATTTTATACAATTAAACATAGAAAATTTATCAAATCCTACGGTGGGAAAACTCTGACAATACGACTAAGATTTGATTTTGCTTAGACATAGAAATATTATTGGACGTTTGTGTTGAGACGATAAAAAGGAAAAAAACAATTTCTTTGGACCCCACGTAGAAGTTAGATTGGCAATACATGAACTATGCATGGTTATATACAGACCACAAAAATTATGATAGTAGATAGATTCCAAAATAAGAAAACGATGTTAAAATTAACCGAAAGACTCCAAAAAGGAAATTCTTATATCATTTTCTCAATATCTTCGTGAATTTTTTAGATATGCAGTAACAAATTTTTTGGGTTGCCACTATCCAATCCAAAATCTTTTAGAGAACTATGATCGGTTAGAAAAATATATTGGCTTTGAATTAGCATATAAATCTAAATATTATACGTCATAAAACTAGGTCATTCTATAAATAACATGTCTCTATAGAACTAGGTCGTTCTATAGAGAAATTAAGATATACTGTATATATAATTAAGGGTGGATGTGGTTAATGTCTGATGGGATCACTTGTCCCCTACTGTTTTTTAATTTTTTTTAAATAATTTAGATAAATTTAATTAATATATTTGAAATTTAGTGGTAAAAATATAAAATTACCCCCAACTAAATTTTTTTATTATTATTAAATTATACCCCAACTAATTTTTTTTCTGCCACTGTATATAATCCAAAAGGTTTCAAACATAACTTTCCAAATATGTTCTAGATATACGAGGATTTATATAGCTTAATTAGTGGTTAGTATTACTGTATTAGTGTCGTTGTTATGCTATCACCCAAATTCAAACGAACTATAATGAATGTTGCTGACAAAAAAATAATAATTAGATATATTATAAGCAATCTTCCTTATTGTTTTAGGTTCGTTTTTAGATATATCCTCGGACTAATATTGGACACTACATGTTTTAACAGTTTAAACTTTAACAGTTCAGCTCAACAAAACCTATTTTAAATAAATAAAGTATTTTTGACTAATTTTCTTTTGGATTTCGGGTATTTTGGATTTTTAAAAAATAAATTAACTATTGGTCGCTAAAGAAAGACACGTTCATGATCAGGAGCCTTTTTCTTGATACATACATCATCAAAAATTTATAAAAAAAAAAAAGCAAAAAAACGAGATACCTTGTCCAAGACAAAGGATGGTGAGTGTTTTGTATCGGGCATGAAAGCACTCAAAAAGACGGAGACCGAGATCGTTTCAGGAAACTTATCCATGACTATGGCTAAGCTCAAGCCACCAAAGCTATGACCAACAAGCACAACTTTCTCATCACTTGGTAATGAGGCCATTAACTGCATCAATGGCTCAGAGTATTGTACGCATGTGGAGATCTCAGTGATCGACCTGGTTGTGTCTATCCCACACAACAAAAAAAAAGCTTGTTATACATCATTTATTTTATTTATTTGTATTACTTATAAATGATGCTAAACACATTTGCATCATTTAAAAAAATGACTCTGAAAGTGGTGATGCAAATAATTTACATTAGTTTTAAAAGTAATTGATGTTAATTTATGCCAGTTATAAAAAATGATGTCAAATTTTGCATCAATTGATATAATTAATGTTAGTATTTGTAACAGTTATAATAATTGATGTCAAATATTTCAATCACTTGCAAATAATTGATGTTAAAAATATTACTAAAAAATAATGAAATATTCAAATAATAATATATATGATTAATAAAAAATAATTAAAAAACTACTATTTTAATTTTTGTATAAAAAACGTAATCGTTCACTTAAAAATATACGTTGAATATCAGAGATAAATATTTATTTGTTATTCGATTCTCATATTTTTTATTCTTGTAAATCTTATTAATATAATATTTGTTAACTTTCTTAATTTTATATTTTGAATTTTTTGGTTATATATATTATTGATTCTAATTTTTTTTAATTTAAAAAAGTATGTATTGTTGTAACACATATCATATATGGACTCTTATCAGCACGATAAGACTCTCTGAACGAAAAACCTTAATAAATCCGGCCACCACCAAAACCCTAAAAGCAAGTCGAAACTTAAAAGACGCATATCTTCCAAACCGTGAGGAACCAGAAGACGATCTACATATCAAATCGAAGCCCTCGACGAGACGAATCTACTGGTGAAAACCGTTTGTCGATCCAACGTCGGACGCGCCCTCACGCACACTTACAGTACACGACGATCAACCGAAAAAAAAAAAAAAAAAAAAACCAGATCCGAGTTTTTCCTTCTTCAACCAGCAGCTTCTCCAGTTTTGGTGATCAATCCTTGGAATTTGTAGCGGCTAACTGAGGTCTATTAGCTCCCAGTTTCATTAGCCTGTCAGAAATCCAAAGGTGGAAAAGCACACCAGCAAATGGAAACCATAGTCGTAGATAGTGGATCCAGCCACACTATCTTAAGAAACAAAAGTTACTTCATAAACCTAACCTATCAAACCGCAAATATTAGCACCATCGCGGGTTCCTCAAACCTTATCGAAGGATATGGCCATGCCTATGTGTTGCTATCAAATAGCACACAACTTGAAATACCAGATGCTCTATATTCTCCTAGTTCGAAGAGAAATCTTCTGAGCTTCAAAGATATAAGACAGAATGGTTTCCACATAGAAACCCAAGGTCAAGGGAACAAAGAATCCCTCCTAGTCACTAAAACCGTAGACGGCCATAAACAAATCCTCGAAACCATACCCGCGCTCTCTACTGGACTTTACCATGCTAAAGTCAGTATGATTGAAGCTAATACCACTCTCAAAGCCCGGTTTACTGATTATACTATTTGGCACGACCGGCTCGGTCATCCCGGTGCAAATATGATGCGTAAACTAATTCAAAACTCTCAAGGGCATACCCTCAAAGAAAACCGAGCTTATCCTCAACACCTCATGTGCACAGCTTGTTCTCAAGGCAAATTGATCACTCGGCCTTCACCAGTTAAAATCTTTAAACAAACACTTCATTTCCTAGAAAGAATCCAGGGCGATATCTGTGGACCTATACATCCATCTTCCGGACCATTCCGGTACTTCATGGTCCTTATAGACGCATCGACCCGTTGGTCATATGTTTGTCTCTTGTCCTCTCGGAACCAAGCCTTCGCTAGGTTCTTGGCCCAAATCATCAAATTGCGGGCCCATTTCCCTGACTTCCCACTAAAGACTATCCGCCTTGACAATGCTGGTGAATTTACCTCACAAGCGTTTAATGACTACTGTATGGCCATGGGGGTAACCGTGGAACATCCTGTAGCACATGTCCATACTCAAAATGGATTGGCTGAATCATTCATTAAACGCATTCAATGGATAGCCCGACCATTACTCATGAGATCAAAGCTCCCGGCCTCAGCATGGGGACATGCAGTATTACATGCTGCTGAACTCATACGCATCTGGCCATCTAGTGAACACAAATATTCCCCATCCCAACTACTCTTGGGTCATGAGCCAGACATCTCCCATCTCAAAACATTTGGGTGTTCAGTATATGTACCCATTGCTCCACCACATCGAACCAAAATGGGACCTCAAAGAAGGATGGGAATATATGTTGGTTTTGACTCTCCCACCATCATAAGATATCTCGAGCCAACCACTGGAGATCTCTTCAAGGCCAGATATGCGGATTGCCAATTCGATGAATCGGTATATCCCTCTTTAGGTGGTGAGACAAACAAGCTGGTCAAAGATCTTTCATGGAATCAAACATCATTAAATTGGCAAGATCCTCGGACTCTAGAATGTGATTCAGAGATCCAAAAGATTATTCATTACCAAAAGCTAGCTAATCAATTGCCAGATTCCTTTGCTGACCCGACCAAAGTAACCAAATCGTACATCCCAGCTTGTAATGCACCAGTACGAATAGCTGTCCCAACGGGACAGACCCAAGTTGCTACAGAGTCTGCACCACGTCTCAAACGGGGCAGACCTCTCGGTTCCAAAGATAAGAATCCTCGGAAATCAAAGAAAGGTGCAATAACCGAAACCGGGATTCCTGCAATATCAGACATAGCCGCGGCTGAGACTCAATCTAATGAACCCTCAATGGAAGTTCGGGACGCCGAATCTCCAGGTTCAGAAGATAACAATGAGATCTCCATCAATTACAATATGTCCGGAATACAATGGAATCGAAAAGAAGTCGACTTAAATGCACTCTTTGCATACAAAGTAGCACTTGATGTTGCGCTCACGCAAGAGGATCTAGAACCCACGTCAATAACACAGTGTACACATCGAACAGATTGGCTAAAATGGAAAGAAGCCATAAACGTGGAGTTAAAGAGTCTCAAACTCAGAAACGTGTTCGGTCCGATCATCCGGACCCCATCACACATCAAGCCAGTGGGCCACAAATGGGTCTTTGTGCGCAAAAGGAACGAACTCGGTGAAGTCGTTCGATACAAAGCACGGCTTGTAGCACAAGGATTCTCACAGAGACCCGGAATCGATTATGAGGAGACTTATTCTCCAGTGGTGGATGCAACAACATTCCGATTCCTCATAAGTCTGGCCATAAGAGAAAATCTTGATCTGCGGTTAATGGATGTTGTAACCGCATATCTCTATGGGCCCCTGGACAACGAAATATATATGAGACTCCCAGATGGCATTGAACTAAAAGACAAAAATGCATCTCGAGATCAATACTGCATCAGGCTGAACAAATCCTTGTATGGACTGAAACAAAGTGGGCGTATGTGGTACAACCGCCTCAGCGATTACCTCATCAAAGAAGGCTACAAAAATGACCCCATCAGTCCATGCATCTTCATCAAGAAGTACTCAAACAAAGGATTTGTAATCATAGCAGTATACGTGGATGATCTAAACATCCTCGGAACATCTGGTGAGATCTCCCAAACAGTCGACTGCTTAAAAGCAGAATTCGAAATGAAAGACCTAGGCAAAACAAAGTACTGTTTGGGATTACAACTTGAGTACATCAAAGGAGGAATCCTTGTGCATCAATCAGCTTATATCGAAAAGGTACTCAAGCGATTTAATATGGACCAAGCTCACCCATTGACCAGCCCAATGGTAGTTAGAAGCTTAAGTGATGACCCTCTTGGTCCCAAAAGGATGATGAAGAAATCCTTGGTCCTGAAAAGCCATACCTCAGTGCTGTAGGAGCGTTAATGTACCTGGCTAGTCACACTAGACCAGACATATGTTTCGCCGTGAACCTCCTCGCTCGATATAGTTCATCCCCAACTCAGAGGCACTGGAACGGTATAAAATATCTCCTAAGATACCTTCGAGGTACTCAAGACTTAGGACTCTTCTATACTAACCAAAATAAAGATGGGTTAGTCGGCTTCGCCGATGCAGGATATCTATCAGATCCGCACACTGCCAAGTCTCAAACTGGCTACGTTTTTACGCATGGAGGAACAGCCATCTCTTGGAGATCAATGAAGCAGACACTCACTGCCACTTCATCAAACCATGCTGAAATCCTAGCCATTCATGAGGCTAGTAGGGAATGCGTCTGGCTGCGCTCCATGACTCAGCACATCCGCAGAGATTGTGGTATGGACGAAGACACACAGCCCACGGTGATGTATGAAGACAACGCGGCATGCATAGCTCAGCTCAAGGAAGGATATATCAAAGGAGATCGGACGAAGCACATTCTACCGAAGTTCTTCTCAACCTCAGACTGGCAGAAGGACGGCACTCTCAGCGTTCAGCAGGTCCGATCCAGTGAGAATTCAGCTGACCTCTTCACCAAATCATTGCCTACTTCAACACACCGGAAGCTCGTCAAACAGATAGGAATGTATAGACTTAGAGATCTGCAGTGATGCTACAATCAGGGGGAGTAATGCGTGTTGTACTCTTTTTCTTTCACCATGGTTTTGTCCCACTGGGTTTTTCCTGGTAAGGTTTTAATGAGGCAACATTCCCCAGCGCATTATCGAGATCCCGATTGAGTAGCTGGCCCGGTTCACTCGTCCAAGGGGGAGTGTTGTAACACATATCATATATGGACTCTTATACCGGCTCATTAGGCCCATCAGGGCATTGTACTTAACCTAGATTCCCTATGTACTCTATATATACATTCCAGTGATTAATAAAGTTTCTAAGAAGTTTTCACAACATGTATAATATTTTTATGTTGACACCCTTTTTTTTACTATAATTTTTAATAACTTTTTAATCATTTATTTAATATTCTTTGTGTTTTATAATTTTATTAGTTGGAGTTTTATAAAAGATTATTTTAAATTTTAAATTTATTAAATTTTATTATTGTTTTACTTGCATTAAATTTTCAATTATATTTTTAATTTGAAAATGAAGTTTAAATCATTTAAAAAAGAAAATAGAATGGTGCATTTAAAAAGTTATGTATTATATAATATTTATAAATTTTGTATATTGAAAATTAATTTGAATTTATTGTAATATATATATATATATATTA